TGACTGCCCCGACAGGTTTTCCTTACAATTCACCGGAATCTTCCGAATGAACGTCTAAGACAAGATTAGTTGTGCAAATGGATCTTTGGCAGAATTGAAGTTTCTATGGCGATTATGAAAAGCTATTGGTGTGGCCTCATAGCTTCACTGGTAGAACATGCGCGTACAAAGCGTAGGCGGCGTCCACGCGTGAGTTCGAATCCCACCGAGGCTACTGAACTTTTCGCAATCGCCATAGGAACTTCAAATCTGCCAAACATCCATTTGCATAATCTGTGTGTGATAATCAACTTGTGATCAACGTTCGGCCATTGAACTGAATTGTTAATTTTTCTCCGTATTTTGTCATGATTTCTCGCCCCCCCCCCCACTCCCACTAAACAGTGTGACACAACTTGTGATACACTAGCTTGTAGATGAGTCACCACAAAGGAGCTTGTTCGCTACTATTTTTCTTCCAATGTGTACTGATGTTATATTCGAACACACTCGTTTTTTTTTTGGTTTAAGTAGTCAAAGGAAGGTTTGATTTCCAGGCATTGGTAATAGCTTTTGTTTCACATCTCTTAAATTTGCCAAAAGGGCTTCATCAACCCTCCGTAGACAACGAGGTTAATTGTAAAAAGATAGCCTCATATAAAATGTATTCAATGGATTTCTTAGTCCGATGTAAGATTACTGTTCTGTTCACCATTACCCTAACCACGGACGGGTTGTTTCGTGAATCCAGTTATCCATGCGGATCCTCTTTTCTGTGCTCCATAAGACCCCGTCCAGTGTGCGCTGAGTCGGTTCTGACTCCACTTGGTCTGTTCGTGTACTGTCAAAAAAAATAAACGGGACAGCGTAATGTGCGCATTTAGTATCCTGTTTCAGCGAAATTCGCATAAAGCAGAACGCGTATTATATGATAGAAGAACCAGTGAATGGTCTGATAAACCAAATAAAAAATATTTATTTCAGGTCAGTGCTACACAGCTGGACGGGGCATCAAACAGCCATGTAGATTATCTTTGGCTGGAACGTCGAATCAGCATAAATAAGTGCATCCACACACACCTGATTCAAAGGACGGAACATAAATTAAATCCCGCTGTTGTTTTGACCAAAAGGCACCCCCCGCATTCTTGACCTGAGAAGAATTTTGAATTCGCACTTAGGCAGGAGTTGATCTCGCAGCGCTAGACGAGTTTTACGGTTAAACAAAATTGAGTGTAAAAATTAGGATCTGGAAGCTAATGGTTTTCTTTCTGCCAAACATTGTAGAATTTTTATTCTTCACCTACTTTTATTTCTCTAATTTCCGGGGACATGTGAATCTGTTACTGGTATGCTTTTCCTCTAATATCTTGTAAAATGTGATTTTCGAAGATCCCCCCAAAAAACAGATTAAACTGATTCCCCAAGCTAGTTCAAGTGATTTCCTGGGCTACTTTTCGAAATGAGTACCTAAGACTTTGGAAAAGTATCTAAATGGAGCACTAAAAGATAGCAACCAAAACTGGCGCACGAAAGTGCATGGTTAACAGTTGTAAAAACTGAACTGGGCTACTTTTGAACTTGGTATTTTGCATAAGCCACTCCTGCTACACTCATTCTGTGTCCTTGAAACTTAGATGTGCCTCTAACGCCTTGACAGTTCCCCAAATACAATTCATGATTTTTGTCTAACTTGCTGTGGTTTATTTTACTTTAAGCGAACAGTAAGGCTTTTGTTATGATCTACATTACATTGTGGGATCCTCACTGATTTATATTTTACTGGTGATCAGCTTCACCGCCGCCCACCTCATTATCAATAATGGGACTATACAGTTCATCAATGCAGGTTTATGAACCAAAGTCGTCGATGATCTTTATCTTCTCTATGAGATTTACTTCTTCAGTTGGGTGCACGCGGACGATGTGATTGATAACCCGTGTCTAAGTTTCAATTGAATTTTACGCAGTTTACGATGTCCGACAACGTAAGCCGAGTTTTATAAAGAATGTCGTTTATTTTGATAAGCTAGTGCTCTGATCAAACGGCTAAGCTCATACAGAAGGTCGTGCGTTCGCGTGTCATCAACACTGCCTAATTTTTTTCCATTTCGTTTTACTGCATAGCAGTCCTTTGATTGGCCGCCTTCTCTTTCCTGAAAATGTTTTATACAGTTCTTTGTTCAATAAGAAAAAGTACAATATAGACAAGGTATGCTCTTCGTATGTCTGTCATAAGACCTCAAGAATCCTATGTGCGACAACCTTACCTTTTCAGGTCCACAGTTTAGTTCAGTTCGTATTTTCATTCACCTCGAATACTTCAATGACGATTTTCGTATTCTTCTGTTCATGCCGATACTTCATCCGTAATATGTTCGCCTGGTAATTTGAGGTTGTCTAGTCATCAAAAGTTGTCTACTCTCTCTTTT